CACAAACTGAGGCACAGGAAGTTCCGTCTGAACATGAGGAAGAACTTCTTCCCTCTGAGGGTGACGGAGCACTGGAACAGGCTGCCCAGGGAGGTTGTGGAGTCTCCTTCTCTGGAGATATTCAAGACCCACCTGGACAAGGTCCTGTGCAGCTTGCTGTAGGTGACCCTGCTTCGGCAGGAGGGTTGGACTAGATGACCCACAGAGGTCCCTTCCAACCCCTACTATTCTGTGATTCTGTGATACCTGCCGAACAGCTGTGTGAAATGCACATTAAGGTGTGCCTTGCCAGCAAGTCAACAGGGTTGGCTTTTCCCCTCAAATTTAACCTAGCTCTGTGGGTCAGAGGTCCTCAAATCTTGGCTGGCCTGCTGGATCATACTGCAAACCATAGGTACTTCAGTATGATAAATGTTCCTGTGCTTTTGAAATGTTTATGACAAATGTTCCTGTGCTTTTGAAATACCAAGATATTTGCCTTTGCAACTCGAGCAGAAGTGTTTCCTTCAAGGTTCTGGTTCTGTTCCAGTTTGCACAACTGCGCATTCCTTCCAAGTCTAGTGGAATATGTCCAGTCCGAAACTGGCATACGATTTTAGTGCCTTACAACAAGCTACATCACCTTCTCATATTTCCAGGTTTTTCACTCTCAAACATGTTTCAGAACCGGTGCAAGTGGTGTTTTGACATGTAAATGGGTAAGTGGCATTAATAAGACTCTCTGATTGCTGTAGGGAGACAGTGGCTGAAGCTCTTCTCAGTGATGGATTTCTCATCCCAAAGATGGATTGTCTGAAGATGCTAAATATCAAGTATGAAGGTTAGTGTATTGGACACCCCATAAGTAAAAAGTACATAGCTAATGTTATGTCCAAGTCTGTTCTTTTTTTCTCATTTTATTGAAATTTGTAATTCTCTGCGTATTTTTCATGTATCTGGGTCCTTAACCATTGTTTGACCTGTTCTCAGACCCCTTTATGGCCATGCTGAGCTACTGCTTTTGCATAAATCTCTTACATGGAAGGATAGCTCTTCAGCACTGAATGCTGCCTGGCCAAAATGTCATTTGAAGCTTGCGTCTCTGTCCTCATCTGCAGTAGTCACTGATTTCATGAACTCCCACTAGTTTCTTTTCAACATCAAAGATCTGAAGCAAATCTGAATGTGTTTTTTTGAGCCTCATTCACCAATTACATCTTAGTTCCATGCTGTTGCCCGTATGTGTGGAGTTACATGGATTTTCTGCAAGAGAATTAGGTACCTAGAGGCAATGAAAATTAATAATTTGTGTATTTTGCTGGGACCTCTTGGAAACACCAGCCAAAGAACTTTCCAAGAAATATCCTAAAATTTCTGTGACTATGTTACAGCAGTAAAAATTCAGGAGCTTTTTCATTCTGTGTTGCTTTGCTCAGTGTGCCTTCTCTTTGCAGTATATTTTTAGACAGAGTAGCTCTTCATTATGTGTGAAATAAGCTGAAACTCCAAAGGGATTAGCAAAACAGGTGGAATTTCCTGTGGTTTACCATATTATAGATCAGGCATTGTATTTTTTGCTTTTCTTGAGTTGTTGTGTCATCAATTTGCTGCTTATTTTACTTCCCTGGCATAAGAAAATAATAGTTCCAGGCTCAGTGAAGATAGCAGGAAGTACCCTAGAACCAGTGATCTCAGAACAAGCTGCTTTAGTTTGGAACAAGTGTCACACCCATGGTTCACAAGAAATTACAAAACAGTGACTTTTGGCTTCTCTTTTTTTTTCTTGTTATTGCAGCAAATAAAGAGGTATGGCAGTTCAAAATTCCCCAGACATTTTACTGCTTTTGGCAACCTTTGCTGACAGGCCTCCTTTCCCGAAGTTTTACACAGATACTAATAGAGAAAATGTTTATGGAGTTGAAGGAGTGTTCTGACTCTTCAGAACTCCGGCCTCAGTTCTTGATCAGCTGGATTTCTGAGATGCTGACTGGCATTGCCAAAGTAAACACTGGTGAGTATATCTGGAATTTCTGTGTGTAAGAGACGTTAGAGTCTTTTCTGTGCTACTGTGAAAACTGGGAGAGTGGTGTGACCTTTAGATGGAAAGTACAATAGCCTAATTATGACATTTTGTCATGTGAACAGAGAGCTTTTATTATTGGATTTCTTACACGTTTCAACCTGCAGCTATGTATGTCATGCATTTCTTAGCAAAAAAAAAATTGAAACTGTTATTGGCAACTTTGCTGCAGCCTCCTCAAAACAGGAAAAGCCAGTCTGTCCCATGAAAGACCAGGCCCTTAAGTGCTATTTTTTCAGATATTAGTACTTGTAGGAAATAACAATAGCAAATAACAAATAAAGATGTTATAGACAAGCTGTTATGAGTTCCCAGCTCCCAGTTCTGTCCTCAACAGAAGCTTGCCTTCACCAGATACTTTCATAGTCTTGCTGTCTTTTTTTAAGCCTATCACAGGATTTTGATGCCTTCTAAACTTACATAAAAGTAGTATTTTGTTTTCTGTTCCTAATTCCTTAGAACTGTTTAAATTGGCAAACTGTTTTAACTGGCAAACTGTACGTTTCACTCCAGAGGCGGGGGCACAGAAGAACTTTGATTATTCAAAACGTGTCACAGGACTTTTGTTAACAGGACTTTTATACTGCAATGTAGTGTATCCTTGAGGAGGTTTCTAGCTGATTAATTTTGCCACCTCTTCTGTCCTCTCACGGTCTGGCTCAGTCTGCACCAAGATTTTGCCAGTATCTGTGGCGGTCACTGGTCCATGTTTGATGCTTTCAGTCAACACTGAGCATATCTATTATGTACCGAGATCTCCAAGTGCTAGGAGTTCCTAGCTGTTAAGTCTACTCATGGCACTGCTATCTGGAATGACCTCAGGTCCCAGAAGCAGTATACTGCATTTGTTTGGGACAATACTGTATGAACACGTGTTGCGGCTTTCCTGTCTGGGATGGCATGCACAGAACGAGCTTGGGGAATGTCTACATCTCACTATGGTCACATCTTGTGGAGCTAATCTAGCTGTCAGTGCATTGGCAAGTCTCTTATAACAACCTTCATGTGTTTGGTCAGTATATCTGGTCTCGGACTCTGATTGGAATGCCAGCTTATTTGGGGATGAGTGTTCCAGTAAAAATGCAAAGGGATGAAGGGCATGTTTTTATGAGTTTTGAGCACCTTGTTGTTTTAATTATCTTCTTTGAAGGGAAAAAAAGACAACATTGTAACAAACAGGTGTCCATGAAGGAGCTGTTCCTCCGTAAAGTTCCTTTGCAGTGGATAAGACTGACTGATAATTGCTTGGAAGCTCCCTGCTGGGCAACACCACACCTTCTTCAGCTGTAAGTTTGATCCTGTGACCTAGAAAAGGGACAGCAAACAGTGCTCTGTAACAGTTTTGGTCCTCTCCCTTGTGATACGCAGAGTTATAGCTGCTTTCCCTTCCTTTGTGTCTAGTAGAAGTTGTGGCAGGTGCATATAAAGCCCTGCTTGTTGCTGTTTATCTCCCTGTTGATTCTACAAAGAGAAGAAGGAGGAGAATTTAAAAAGATTGCACCTTCAAAATGAAAGCAGAGATTATCTGGGAAGGTATTAAAGAAGTAACCTGGTCAAAAGAAAAGTGACTTGGTAGCAAAGATGTGACTGCTTATACGGGTGATACAAATTTAGCACAGGTGGTAAATTTTCACATGAAAACAGCAAAGCAGGAATTCAGTCAAAATATCCCAAGTCCTCAAATTTAAGCACAAAGAGGGAGTATTTCAGCATCCACCCACCAGGGAATAATCAGATTTACCTGTTAGGGGAGATATGTGAGCAAGCTGTCCTGGAGGAAGCTCACATTTAAAAGGCTGCTGAGCTTGATAAACCTTCGTCTGGAATTTTTTTTAGTTTTAAGACTTTTACGTTGCCCTTTTCCTTTCTAGGATCCTCACAATCATGAGACCTCGCTTGCCACTTTCTTCACGGAAGAACCTTCTCTATCTCGCTTCCGTTTACACGGAAGGAGGTGGCCCTTTGTCCAGCCCAGGCATCTCTTCAGACTGCAGTGAACAGCCAATTTACACTATAGAGAGCTTACAGTGGAGGGCCAGGCAAGAAAATCAGGTTAAAAATCAAGGGCAGACTGTAGAGAAGCAAGAAGAATTGCTGGAGGGAGATGATGGTGTAGAGGAGGTGGAGGAGGAGGAAGAAGAGATGGTAACTGAAACAAATCCTTTGGAAGGACTTGCTCATTCTGGTGACATGGTGGCTATTGCTGAGAAAAGGGCAGCACTGCAAGGGTCCTCCTGGCAGATCACTGCAGGTAAAAAATGACTTTGTAAGACTTGACAGTCTTCATCACTGGCAAATGTTACTTGAAATGCAAAGGCTTCTCAGCCCTCTGGGCCTGGCCAGAATTGAAGTGTGCTTCAAAGTCACGTAAATGCCAAATCACTGAAAACTGTTTTTTTGCTGATGTTCTGTTTATGTGCAGGAGTCATTTCTCTTAAAATACTGTGAGTGCTTTTTCCAGGAGCATGTTGTTACTAACTCATTAAATTTTTTTATCAGCCTTTTCCAAACTGTTTGATATTTCAGTGTATCCAATTGATGGGGCAGCATATGTGCCAGCTGAGAACGGCAAAGAAAATATGATTGTTTCTCGGATTTCTGTTTGTCAGTCTTGGGGGGTATTTGAGTTTGGCTGTGCTGGAAAGCACCGGTCTTATGCTTTTAAATTCCATGCTCCAGGAAAATTGCTGTCATGACATGGTGGCAAGCAAAAGAAAGGAGCAAGGCCAGTTTTTAGAGGGAATAAACAGTATGTCCAGTGTTTTTTTAGCTTTATACGGTAGCTGTGCTTTCTCAGTGGGGTGGAGGGTTCTGTAGCTAAGAAGATTTTTGGAAGAGTGATTTATGGAGGGACTTGAAGACAGGAGGAGGAGGTTGATGGAGAGGAGTTGGAGGCAAAGTGATGTTTAAAGGATTAAGAAGAAAAGCAGCTGTTAGAAGACAATGAACTCTCTTACCCCACTCCCAAGGATATTTTCCCAAGTCAGGAAAAAAAAAAAAAAAGAGATCTGTCTAAGATGCTTGGCTTGGTTATGCTGATGTGAGCAGCTTTTTAGAGCGGGACATGTTGAGAAGAAGGATAATTATCCTCTATTTCAGTGACTTTGGTTCAGATCAATCAAAGCTTTCACTAAAGGAACATGCATTGTGTCCTGAACCACCTAATTTTTGTGAAGATTCTGTTTATGTAGTTGTTTGTGGCTAAACTTAATTTCTGTTTGAATAAGATCTGTGTAGTTACCATCCTTAAACAATTTGAAACTATAGCCAGTAGGTATGTACAAACCCGTGACAACATGTGGTGTATCAACTGTTTACTAGGTTGTTCCCTAAAGAGAGGGCTTAGCCTGATAAATATGTATAATGGTAATTTGCCTTACAGCTGTGTTGGATGTTACCAGATGCTATTTCTGCACCTTTTTTAATTGTAAAGTTATAACACGTAGAAGGCACTATCCTACGTCAAGATTTTTTTGTTCTATTAAATGCTCAAGAATGCTACAAAAGGATAAACAAAGAAATCTCCTCCTTCTTTAGGGCAGTGCTTTTGGTTTTGAGCAGATGGGGTACACAAATCAGTTTCAGGCAAAGGGAAGGAAGTGGCCAAGTTGTGTGTGATTAGCAGGGATCTTAAATAGTCTGTGTAACTACTGCTGGCTCTCTGGAGTGGAGTGCCTTATCTTCTGAAGGCTTCTGTCTGCTGGTCTTTGCTGAGCTAATAGTAAGCATTCCAGAAATAAGTGTTCTGGTGTCAAGAGAGCACATTGGTTTAATAAATCTTATAGTCAAAACAATGACACATAATAATTTGTATCTTTCGTTTAGTCAGATGTGATGTAAGAATGAAACTTAAAGGAGGATTAACTGTGAGCTGCCTTTGAAATTTTGGCAGCACAATACAAAGGAATGGGCTGACGGATGTTATCAGTTGTGATGGATGGTTTGCCATTGTGCAGTTTCTCTCCCCCACTGGAAGCCAAATTTAACATATGTGAAGTCATGGAGAGAAAACAGTAATAGGTGTTTGTGAAAACAAATAACAGAATTTCCAAGACATTGTTATATTCTTTCTCGTTTCCACCTCATCCCAGCCCACCTGTCTGTCCATAAGTGCTTTGTTGGTTACTTAGGCTTCCTCAGCCTTATACTCTTCTACTTTTGTGGCTTCAGCTCTTCTTTTGTCACTGTTGCACTGTTGCTGTGCAGCTGCTCATCTCAGCGAGTCGTTAAGAAGCTGATGCTTAATCTCACTGGAGGAATGAGCTACTGGATGCAAAAGTGCTGTTTTTTATCTTCAGATGTGTACAAATGGCTTTTTCCAGTTACAGAAGTATGCAGAGTAATTTTTAAAAATTAACGTATGTAAGTCGATGTGTATGTTTCGAACAAAAGTATGCTTAAAAGAGGAAGGTAAATATGAAGGGTTGCTGTAGAATACTGTGGGGTTTCTTTTAATGGACATTGTCGCACAGTGGTTTGGACAAGCTGCACTAGACTGCATGATGTTACATGACTCCAGAAGTGTCCCTATTGTCTCATGTACTACAGTGACTTTCTTTGGAAGAGATAGTAAGGTTAGACATAAAATTAATTAAAGCCGTAGTTTAAATTTGGTTTTGCTGAGTACCTGAGATTGTTAATTTTTGCTGAGTTGCATAAAACAGTATTTGTGGACTTGGGGGGATTTTTTTTTTTTTTTTCCCAAATCTGTCTGAGGAGCTCAGACTTCTTGTTTATGTACTGTTTTTACCCAGATGAAGTACTATGGAAAGACTTTCCTCTTGGGAAACTCCCAGGTCAGACAGATGACCCTGATGGTCTCATGTTGGATAATTATTCCATGATGTCCCTGCTTGATCAGCCGGTGAGAGATGAGTGGAAGCCTCCCAGTACAAAGTGAGTAATGGTGTGGGCAGGACTTTGCCCGTGAAGCATGAAATGCATTTGTGTCTCTGTGCCTTGTACTATATGATGTGAAAACTTAAGGATGAGATTTCCTTTTTACTTCTATTTGACTGACTAGTTTGACCCAGATATCTACTACTATCTTTGGTATCTACTAACTGCACTTCTCATGGTTTTTTTCAAGTAATCTGTATGTTTGGAAGGACCTTTGCAGTGCTGGTGTAGTAGCATAGCAGTCTGCTCTTCAGACTGTGCTGACAACTTTCAGTGTTGTCTGATGCTGTTAGTGAGATACAGTCTGCTGATTGCTTAGAGTTACTAGTCTGGAAGTGCAGAATTTTTAAAACAAGCTACTGAGAGCTGGTGCAGAATCTGCCTGGTGACACACTGGGATGAATATCTTTAACAGGAAGAACTGTGGCCTTGCAATTAAAGCATTTGGGACCAGAAGCCTGGGAAGTCATTTAACCTCCCCCACTGTCAGTTTTCCCAGACTAGCTAATGTTGTATAAGAAGGAGAAGTCATTCTAAAGTGCACAGTGGTGGTGCATTAGTGGGAAGGGCTGAAGATGAGGAGGTAGCCACAGGAAGTGGTTGTCTGAAGGTTACTTTTGTAACACATGAGGAAGGAGTTGGCTTGACATAACTGGGGTGTTGAATATGCTGGGAGTTTCACATCAGGGAGTGTAAAAGTGTCCCTTCTCTGTATGCTTGAAATGGAGACTGTACTATGTTTCCTGAGGAAGGTCTATGTCACTGCAGTCTCAGTTGTTCATCCTATGGGTAACCCAGCATGAGATGAACTCTCTATTCCTCACCCTACCACACTGCAACAGGAAACTTCCTGCTTGTTTGTACTACATTAGTCTGATAGTATGCTTTGCATTGTTGATGGACACAGTCAGACAGAAGTTATTGCTACCCGTGTTGCTGGGACAACTTACCGGTAACTGACCTGTTTTGACACTGTCTCCTATAACATCCTCCTAGGCAAGCTCAGGAAATGTGGGCTAGATGAGTGGACAGTGAGGTGGATTGAGAACCGGCTGAATGAGAGAGCTCAGAGGGTTGTGATCAGCAGTGCTGAGTCTAGTTGGAGGCCTGTAGCTAGTAGTGTTCCCCAGGGGTCAGTACTCGGCCCCGACTTGTTCAACTTATTCAGCAATGACGTGGATGAAGGGACAGTGTACCCTCAGCAAGTTTGCTGATGATACAAAACTGGGAGGAGGGGCAGATACACCAGAAGGCAGTGCTGCCATTCAGCAAGACCTGGACGGGCTGGAGAGCTGAGCAGAGACGAACCTCATGAAGTTCAACATGGGCAAGTGCAGGGTCCTGCACCTGGGGAGGAACAACCCAATGCATCAGCACAGGCTTGGGGCTGACCTGCTGGAAAGCTGCTCTGTGGAGAGGGACCGAGGAGTGCTGTGGGATGACAAGTTGGCCTTGAGCCAACTTGGGATGCATCAAGGGGAGTGTGGCCAGCAGGTCGAGGGAGGTGCTCCTTCCCCCCTATTCTGCCCTAGTAGGGCCACATCTGCAGTACTGCGTCCAGTTCTGGGCTCCCCAGTTCAAGAAAGATGAGGAGCTACTGGAGAGAGTCCAGCGGAGGGCTGCGAAGATGTTGAGGGGACTGGAGCATCTGTCCTATGAGGAAGGGCTGGGGGAGCTGGGCTTGTTTAGCCTGGAGAAGGCTGAGAGGGACCTTAGAAATGCTTATAAATATCTGAAGGGTGGGTGTCAGGAGGATGGGGCCAAGCTCTTTCCAGTGGTGCTCTGCGACAAGACAAGGGACAACGGGCAAAAACTGAAGCATAGGAAGTTCCATCTGAACATGAGGAAGAACTTCTTCACTCTGAGGGTGACAAAACACTGGAACAGGCTGCCTGGAGGGGCTGTGGAGTCCTTTCTCTGGAGGTATTAAAAACCTGCCTGGATGAGGTCCTGTGCAGCCTGATTTAATTGACCTTGCTTTGGCAGGAGGGGTTGGACTAGATGATCCCCAGAGGTCCCTTCCAGCCCCTACCATTCTGTGATTCTGTGATCATAGGAAGTTACTTCATGAAGCGCTAACAGTCATCCTTCAAAGCTGAAGAAATATGCTCAACACTTACCTTTGTCTCCTCCATCTTTTGCTGTCATGAAGTCTGAGAGCTGCTGTTTTAACTGCTGCTGTTCTCATTCCCTTCTGGAAGTGTACTTTTGCTTTGCACTCCTTGGGTGTTTTGCACTATCGGAAAGTCAAATGCAATGGCATAATTTGCAATCAAAAATGTGATCTCCGTGGTATCTTTTGAGGAAGTGAGCTTATAATCTTACCATCTTCACTCCTCCTGCTCTTTCTAAAAGAAATGATTGCAAGGATTATGAGATACTGCTGCTTAGCAGTTTGGAAGTTACTAGCACAGCCTCAGCAGGCTTGAAAACTCAGTTTCTGTTAACTGGGGCTCTGACAGTCAGCCACATTATATTGGTCCCCAGTGACCTTTTCAGAGCTAGTAATTTAAGCTGCAGATCTGACCTCAGTAAAGAAACACAGGTTGTCATGGAAATAATGGTAGCAGTCTATAAAGCTTTAGTTAGATCACTTCTGTTAGTAAATGAAGCTTATCCAGTTAAACCATCCTATTTAAGATGCTTTAATAGGTTCATTGTTTCACCCTTTGAAGTCAAAGGAGCTTGAATGCTGTAAGCTGTCATATCAATTTCATCACATACACAATAGGAGATGGGCTTTTATGTACTTTAATCCAAGGAATGCTTCAGAATATAAATGAATGGCAGTTGTTTTCTTAAACACTTGGTAGGATAATTTTCTAATCAGTGATTCTTTCCGTGTAGTTGATGGGCACAATCTAGTAGCTTCCAAAAAACATGAGTAACAGTGACAGTCATGCGGCCTGGCATGTTGCATTGGGAAGAACTCTTGTACATATTCACATTTTCACATATTCAGAGTTGTCTTCAGATTAGCTTCCAGTACCAAACCTTCCAAAGAGCAAGGTTTCCATTCTTCTCCATCCTCTTGGTCATGCTCCCCGGGACTAGTCTGCTCTTTTGTCGGTTCAGGCCTGCTGAAAGTGTATTGTTTCTGCCTGATTCATCCAATTGAAACATGAAATTAGCATTTCGGAGATTGCTAGGTAGTCAAAAAGAAACTGTCCTTTCCTATGGTTCTTCCTTCTAATGATCGAAATACTTGATGAAGTCCTTGGTTCCAACACTTCTATGAGAGGCAGGACAGACCCTGCCTCTCTTTATACTGAGAGGTTAAATGAGTTACCCTTTTTGAGTCCTCTTGAATGATGTTAATCACTAACAAGATCTATGCTTTGAGCACTGCATGAATTTTTTCTCGGACTGTGAAGAGAGCAGGTAAGCATTTGTCTTGTGATAGTTTATCATCCCAAAAAGAAGAGTAAATCTTTACCAGATGCAAAACCCTCCTTTTGATGCAGCAGAAGAGCGCTTTGGTGTCAGCCAGCCATGAATCATGTTTCTTGCAACATGTTCCGTGTTGGGAATAAGGCAGATTCCTGGAATCTGCAGGTCTACTTCGTCTGCAGAGCCCCGGCACTCTCACTGTAGTCACAAATGACAGAATACTTGATCTCAGAGACTTGAAATGTAAAGCTGTTTGACCTGATGTTTAGGTAGGTGAGATCACTGAAAAAAACAGGAAGCTACAGTAGAATTCTAATGTGCTACAGTAATCAGTACCATTTGGCATCTAGCCAGCAGGCTCTGACAAGAGATGAGTGGGGGTTTCTTAATCTGATCCTCGTTGGCTCAGCTGATATTTCTATGCACGGTAGCTCGCATTATCATTACGGAGGCTGCAATGAAGTGTATGTGGAGTAGTGTGATTCACTGTTCTGGCTTGTTTGTAAGCTGCTAGTTGAAACCAGCTGTAGCTTGTGTCCTTTCTGGCTTGTGTGTTGTAGGCTTCAGGTGTTCTGTAATCCCAGTATATTTCTTGGGGTGGTTTATAGAGTAACAGGAATTAAAAATCACCTAATTATTCGAGGTTCTGCAAAGGAATTCCTCTAGATATAAACTTTATATCAAACCACTGATGTAGATGTTAAAGGAGCTAGAGCTTGGCCATACTAAAGTCTGCTGTTTGAAAAATCCACAGCACATATTATTCAATTCATTTGTTAATAAAAAATTACTAAAATTACTAATAAATGTTTTATTGCCATTTTGCTTTGGATAGCAACGAAATCTGTGCTAGTGTCACAGAATCACAGAATAGTAGGGGTTGGAAGGGACCTCTGTGGGTCATCTAGTCCAACCCTCCTGCCGAAGCAGGGTCACCTACAGCAAGCTGCACAGGACCTTGTTCAGGTGGGTCTTGAATATCTCCAGAGAAG